TAGAATGCAATACTGCAAATTTGAGCTCAATAGAACAACTGAGTAAAAAAGTACAGCTGCTCAAAGATTCAAAATGGCAGATTCAAGAAATAGTTTAACGGCTGCCATTTTTTACTCAATTGTCCGTTTGAGTTCAGGTTTGCGGCAATGTATTCTACTAAGACCTTTAATTAAATACCTAACTCGACCTAGGCTGCTATTTAAGAATTTTGTCTGACCCCTCGTGGGCCGTCCCCCATAAGGCATAAAAAAGTGATAATAGCTTAAAACAGTAGACATTTATAGCTATTATTTATATACCAAGTATCATTACTTTATCTATAATGGTAACAAATATATTTAACCGTTCCGGGACTTTTCTACCACACTGTATGTGAGTACTTTGATACCAGAACGAACTTATTGACATATCAACAACCCGAGATATAAATCATTTAACAAAAACTGATTTAAATAAAGGGTAATTTAATATTGTATTGGGGTTTGTACCTCGTCTCCAAATAGTCTGTTTTAACTATAAATAGCTAAAATGAAAGCTCTTACATCACTGAATATTTTAAGGCTATATGAATATTTTAAGCATCAATAAGACCTGGAGAAAAATAATATAAACACATTTTAAAAGTACGATACGTCCATAAGTAATGTATAGGGGAGAGTTTTCGTTTTAATATATCTTAAGAAACGAAAAAGCTTATTTAAAAACGGATTTAAGCATTGAAATCAGCGTAGAAATCTAGTTCATAATGATGTGTCACAACATTATAATTACAATAAAAAATATTTATATCCAATATGGCAGATCCAAGATGGTGGTCAAAAACGCGTTCCCTATCAAAATGAAGTACTGACTACCCAATAAATATTGGTGGTGGTCCTAACTTAATATCTCGAAACAATTTGCAAAAAAAAGCATGTTGCATCTTTTTCAAAATTTGTCCAATGTCGGGAAAAGCCGCCATCTTTTATCAGTATTTCACGGGTTTCCCGAGGACTGATTTTTGGAAACTTTTAGTATGTCACTCTGCACACCACAAAAATAAAAATAAAACCATAAAACGTTTACTTGCAAGTTTTTATACGATCCCTGTGTCTGTTTTATTAGTTTGCTTGGACTATTACATTAATTTATTGGAAAACCTTTATTTGAAATATTTTATTATTTCTGCGGGGTTTATTTTTGGTTGTGGGTACATATATTTGGTATCATTTTAAAGGTAATTTCAGGAGGAAAATAAAATGTATTTACGACTTTTCACCAATAATGACTGGAAAGTCAGAATTTCAATAAAAAGCAAAAAACTACCGGATTTGGCCGCCATTTTGGAAAAAAAGACATGTTCCACCAAAGATATTTTTGGAGACTTTTGATATGTTATTCACAATACCTTTCACTATCTAATAACAATAGTTTCATCTGTGTTCTAATTATTTCTAGGTTATGCTATTTTTTTTCTTATTTTAAGGCGCCTATGGGAAACTACAGAGCCACTGAGGCGGAGCCCGAAAGGATTTTTGAAATAAGAATATGCCTATATGTTAATCGGGAATGTGAGCTATCATCATGCCAAATTTCAGCCCAATCCGACCAGTATTTTTCGCGTTCACTTGTCACAAACATACATCCATACATCCATACATCCATACATCCAAACTTTCTCATTTATAATATTAGTAGGATATTATTTTATCAGATAAATAGTAAACAAAACACCAACTGCTGGAGATCTACATGAGCCAAAGGAACATGTTGTAACTATGGTTTTTTTTTTATATATGTTGAAGGTCTATGATATTGGAATTTCAACCATTCTTTCTAGCCATAAAATCCATGTACTTGTTTTAAGTAAATATTATTGTATGACACCATTGTAATTTCTTAATGAAATAACAAATAAAGAATATTTTGATTTGATTCTAGGGGAAACTACAGGATTTTCAAACATAAGTACTGGTACTCATTCGTGCAAATAGGGACCTCTTGTACTTTTTCATTTATATAATAGCTACAATTATTTTGAAAATATAGCTTCTTCCTTCATCCGTTCAACTAAGTGTTAGTGATAAAATATGTTAGAAATATGTTTTAGATTACCTATATATTTTTCCTTCTCGAAGTTATTTATAGCAATATTTTTGCAGATAAATTTATTTAGAGATCCACAGATACATCTAAAACCCAATACTCTTCAATTAGTTCTACCATCATGTGTGGTCCTGTACAAAATTCCCCGGCCTTGAAAACACCTTTTCTTTTCGAGCTCATCCTTCCTTCTTTCGTCTAACCCAGATAGACGGTTGACCTTGTACTCCTGGCTTTCTTCTTGTTCTTCGACCTTGAATCGACCTTGAGACGGGCTACGCGTGCCTGGACACGCAGTTCCATTGTTTGTTGCGCGTAGAAGCGTAAAGCTCCTTGTCTCTTATCAGATGGTTCTAGTAGTACTCTGACACTCGCGATGCTCCGCGCACCATACATGACTGGAAGAAAAAGTATAGCCGTGGACCCCTTGGAGGCAGCCATATAACCATAGACTAACCGTTTAATCGTATAACCGAATGCATTTCGTAATTTATATTATTTTTGCAGTATTGTAATTTTGGCAATTTACCTATCAAGATTTCTCATAAACATAATCAAATGTGTGAGTTGGTAATACGTTTTACTTTTGGATACTTTCAGTTCTTTCACTCCCATATATTTCCTTTTAGATACTGAAGATTACATACCATTTAAACGGATGCGAACTGTACTGTGGCCAATAAAAAACCAAACATCGTTAAATGGCTCTTGCAGAGTGTCTCGAAATTATATTATCTCCCTTAGTTTTTTATACTGTAATATTTTATGTGACATAAAAATTATTTTACTTTGAATCAAATCAATTACAAAACACCATTAAATAAGATGCGTTGCATGAGATAACGTCAAATTATAATCATAATTTATAATCATAAACCGTATAAATATAACTCTAAACAGTGTGGTTAACATTAAACATTTTATACGTATGAAAAAGAGGTTTCCGGACAATAAATAATTAAACAGTAAGTTTTCTTTTAGGATTAACGCGATTGATGAGTTTGCGTATTCGGTAAAAAAGAAATCAGTAATACATCAGTGCACTAAGTGGTATTTCAGTGGTTTTTTTTTGTCCACCCTGAACATACACACCCACATACAATACCTATTCTTCTATAATACATATTGCATAAAATTTTATTCCAATGACATGTTAATTTTGAAAAGCTTTCACAGGTTTAGCATGCGAAGTTACTACTAGTAGTTCGGTTGCTGTAGTTCGCCCCTTCACACCAGTCGCTGCACCACGCCACACGTCCCTGTACCTATACAGGGTGATTTGTACTCAGTGTGACAAAATTTTTTTGGTGTAATTACAAAGTAAATGAAGTGTGATGATGCATATCAAATGTTCCAAATCTCAAAATTAGCGTCCCAAAAAATTATTTTATGTTTTTCAAAAATAACCATGTTTTTAAAATTAATACAGCGATTTCTCAATTAACTGTATATGGATTTGAGTAGATAATGTCATTTTCGTGTTCTACATTAAATTTTGAACAAGAATAATACGAAATGACAGAAGATGAGTTGTAAAAACTCCATTGTAAATAGATTCAAAGATAAAAATTAAGATGTTAGATAAAAAGTTAAAAAAACAATGGTCTATTGCATTTTTCACACCCTGTATACAAGAAAGTGTCGGAATATGTTAAAAACTGCGCCATTTTATAAGCTTTCCAACGATATGCTATACTATTGAGGTTTATGTCTGCTTATGTACGCTTTAATGGTTTGAAGACTGCAAAGCATGGTGTATTTAACATTTAAAACATAGAAAGTCGGCATGTATTAAGCAATAGTTGTATTTTTGATTCAGCTTGAACAGTAAAAACAGTAAAAAGTTCCCTGTTTTCTGGTATTCAAACCACTCTTACAAACAAAAAAATATCTAAACCTCAATAGTGTAGCATATGGTTGGAAAGCTTATAAAATGGCGCAGTTTTTAACATATTCCGACACTTTCTTGTATACAGGATGTGAAAAATGCAATAAACCATTGTTTTTTAACTTTTTATCTAACATCTTAATTTTTATCTTTGAATCTATTTACAATGGAGTTTTTACAACTCATCTTCTGTCATTTTGTATTATTCTTGTTCAAAATTTAATGTAGAACACGAAAATGACATTATCTACTCAAATCCATATACAGGTAATTGAGAAATCGCTTTATTAAGTTAGAAAGCATGGTTATTTTTGAAAAACATAAAATAATTTTTCGGGATGCTAATTTTGAGACTTAGAACATTTGATATGCATCATCACACTTCATTTACTTTGTACTTACATCAAAAAAATTTTGTCACACTGAGTACAAATCACCCTGTATTGACTATCCCCTGCGCCTTGATAAGTTTTACGTGGTTTTGCTGTTAAAAACTAATTCTAGTTTCTTAAAGTCCTCCAAATGTGCTTCTCAATTACCCAACAGTTTTTTTCATTATTTTTTTATTAGTTTGCCAAAATCAAACATAAATATACACTTCGACCAGTTTTTAACATCCAAAGACAACTAAAACTTGTTTTTAACTATTTTAATTTCAAAAGTTTTCCAGGGACACCAGACCTGTGTGTTAGGCTTGTACATTATGCATCAATAATTGTAAGTCGTATGTTCTAAAGCTGGGTTTTCCTAGACGCGGAGTCGGCCAGCGGAGAGCGGACAACGGAGAGCGGAATTGAAATTAACATGGCATTCCGCTCCGCTGCTAGGAAAACAGTAACATTAAATTACCTAAGACCAGCTGAGTCCGCTCTCCCCGTTCCTCTCTCCGCTGGCCGACTACGCGCCTAGGAAAACCCGGCTTAAGACATTTCACTATTTCAGTTATATCCATGGTCAATCGTAATTGAAGATCCTTTATTTATATTGAAATTGAAGTTTTAGTTTATTAACATAAACTGTTGTGTGCAGGACAGTGACAGCCATATTGCTGGTGTTCATGTTCGTGGGGACAGCCTATGAGAACCATCTAGAGAGGAAACAGCGCAGGAGGGAAAAAACACCTTCCAACAACAACAGAGCCGAGGCGGCCGACAAGCTGGCATCACCATTGGACAAGATCTCTCCCCACCACCACATGGGCGCCAAGGGAAACTCTGACTCTGACATATCTACCAGTGACTCCTTCAGAGGTACTAAACTCTGTAAACACTAATCAACGACAAATCAACAAATCAAACTAATCAACACTAGTTATCTTGATTACATTGCATCACTGTTGGAGGAGTTGTTCTGTATAGGTGTTGTCAAAATAATCAAAATAACTATGGTGGGGGACGGGAGTTGGAATTCTCATTACAGTCCACTTAAGAATATTCATCTATGCTCTTAAGTGGTCTAGACAAAAGTTTCTGTTGCAATAATTTCTTGAATCTGACATTGCCTACCAGTAAAGGATAACGTTAGCCAGTTAAAAAGTTGGTGTACTCAACAGAAACCTGTAATTAACATTTGTTCCTTTACAGAGCCTGTCAGTGTGGTAGGTCAGGTGTTTCTGTCGTTCTCCGCACTCTCCAATGCTCGTAAGATCCTCCACTGCGGTGCTGCTCCCAAGGACTCTCTCACTTGTGTACACGGTCTACGCTTCCTCAGTCTTGCCTGGGTCATAATGGTCCACACCTACCTGCAAGTGTTCGCTATTGCAGGTTAGTTCTAAAATGATGTGTGAAACTACACGTGAAGTAGTAGAACAGAACATGATGACAAAAATGTAAACAAAAGTTATGTTCTACTTTATTTATCTGGAAATATGATTTTCTAAGCTGTCCTGTGGTATTAGAGTTTGAGCTATACCAGTAGGTACCTACCTTACTTTTGAAATAAGACAAATAACAATTAGGTTGGATTAAAACTGAATACATTTTAAAATAGTGACTCACTGTTATGTAATGGGCACACAATAATAAGGCATATAGAAACCCAAATATGATTCAAAAGTAAGTGAGGCATGAATTTGATTCCTTTTGTGGATTTGTTTAACTATGATCTGGTGTTTCTTCAGTTACGGGTATTATTTAAAAAATCTGCCTCCAAAGAGAGCTGGTTCCAGTATTGGCCATCTGTCTTCAGAAAACAAACAGAATGCTAGTTTGAATTTAAATTTTAACTGCTAAAACATGTTTTGCAGGAGGTACCTATATTTATTGAGCAGTGTTTCATTCATACTTTATTCCATAAAATATGCTTTTGAGCTGTTAGAAAACTATTATTTATGTAACAAAAACCCCCCTCCGTTCTTTTCTATGTTTTTATTTATTTCAATATTCTGTGTTTCTTACTTCTTACTTCTTACTTCCGGTGTCCTCACCACAATCGTTTGATCGGGGAGTCGTCAACTTTCTTCCTTTTTCGGGGTTTTCTGTGTTCTGGTTTCGTGTATTTATGTATTTATGTTTTATGTTTTATGTATGCATGCTCCTCTATGTATTCTTTTATTGAGTCGTACGCCTCGTAACTGCCTTGCAGTTAGATACAATTTTAATTTTTTTTCAAAATTAGGTGTGTTTGATTTTAGGTGTTGGGGTAATTGATTGTAGAACATTGATCCAGAGTATGAGGGTGTGTTGTTTGTTTTTTGAAGTCTGTGTTGAGGTATGTCTATGTTTGTTTTACTTCTGGTGTTGTGGTTGTGCTGCGATTGTCTTAGGTTGGGATTGGATCGAATGGTAAGGATTATGGTTTCGCAGATATAGAGTGAGATTAATGTCATTATGTTGAGTTGGATGAAAAGGGGCTTGTGATTGGTTGATTCTTCTGATCTTGTTATTGTTCTGATTGCTTTTTTTTGCAATGTGAAAAAGTTTTTCCATATTTTTTTGAGCTGTAGATCCCCAAGCTGCAATTCCGTAGCGTAGATGTGAAGTCAATAATGAATGGTATGCTATGAGGGCTGTTTCTTGGTTGGTTATACTTCTTATTCTTCTTATTACAAATATTGCTGATGCCAGTTTTTTGCAGAGTTGATCAGTATGTTTGTTCCAGTTTAATTTTTTGTCTATTGTGATGCCGAGGAATTTGGTGGTTTCTGCAGTTGGGATCTCTAGCTGTAACCAGTCGTCGTTAGTTTTTGTATTGTTGGTTGTGAAGTTGATATGGACGGTTTTTGATTTATTTATGCTCAGCTTTAGGTTGTTGCAGTAAGATGTTATATGGTTGAGCGTCTTATTTATCTTTTGGCAATTTCTTACACTTTAATTTGATTTTGTGGGGATAATTAGCGTAGTGTCGTCTGCAAACAGGATACATTTTTGGTCATTTTGAAGTTGATTTGGAAGTTCGTTTATGTATATAATGAAGAATAGGGGCCCCAGGATCGATCCTTGTGGTATTCCCCTAGCTGTTGTTTTTAGTGAGGATTTGACTGTGGTTATCATGTTTTTATTTTGGTTGTTTATTTCTACGAATTGTTGTCTGTCCGTCAGGTAATTTTTTATCCAGTTTAAAGCTTCATTTTGTATATTTAACTGCTGCATTTTTTGAATAAGTATGTTCCAATCGAGCATGTCAAAAGCCTTTTGCAGATGATATGAATATGCCTGATGCTGATTCTTTATGTTCCCAAATTTTGGTTATGTCATTACATAGTTGAGCTATAGCTGTGTTGGTACTTAGTTTTTTCCTGGTTTGCTGTAATTAAGTTATGTTTCTCTATGTGGTCTGTGATTTGGTTGTACATGACTCTTTCGAGGAGTTTTGATAGGACTGGTAGGTTTGCGATCGGTCTGTAATTTTTTGGGTTATTTTTATCGCCTTTCTTGAATTTTGGATATATTTTTGAGACTTTCATTCTTTTTGGGATTTCTTGTTGTTCGATTGAGTTGTTTATTATGTGTAGGATGGGATTTACTTTTTTACTTTTTACTTTTTACTTTTTTAAGGCCTCTATGGTGAGCCAGTATGGTCTAATTAGATGTTTAGGAGTAGTCGCTGTCGCTGCGTTATTTGATCCTATATTTATTATAACTTTTGATGGGAGTTTGCTTCGTGAGCTGAGGTGTCTGCTAACGTCTGCAATTTTTCCACCAGGTATAATTTTGACGATGACATCTCGGATATCTGGGTTTATTTTGTGGACGGCTCCTCTGAGGATAGAGTCTCCTATGATTAGGGCTTTGTGCATATTTGTTTTTTCTAGTTTTTTACCGGTATGGTCTTGTGAGTTGGGTCTGGAGTTTATTTCGGGAAGGCTTGTAGTCTTTGCACTGCGATTTGTTTTTTTCTAGTGGACTGCACACTTTTTTGTAGGTTTCTATGTTTTTCTTGAAATTTGTGTCATCACTCCCGTGTTGTCTTGTAAGAGGATCGCTGTCTGAAGCTGTTTTTGCATTGTCTATCAAGTGTCCTTGTAGGGAGCCCTTTGTAGTTTTGAGGATACTGTGTATGGTTGCCTCGAGTTTATAATTTATTTCTATTTTTTTAGCTATGGTTTCAGATAATTTCAAAATGTCATTATTTTTTTCTTCTAGGCTGTTTTTTAAGGTTTTCATGTCTTCCATCAAGATGTCAATGATTTGCTCATATTCCTTTACTTTATCTTCAAACATTGCAATAGTTTGATTCATTTTTTGTTCAGGGCTAGTTTCTTTTTCAGGTTCGATCATGGGTTTGTTCATGGAGTTGTTATTCTTCGGTCTAATTTTAAGACAGGTTTTACATGTTCAAGTCATGGGGAAATTTTCATCTGTGATAGCTTTATATTGTTTGTTAGTTATCAAGGCACATTTTTTATGGTACCAGTCATCACACTCGCATGCCACTGCTTTGTCGCTTTCATGTACAATTTGATCACAGATTTTGCAGTATGCCTTTCTGGCAATGTCATTTTCGTCTGATATTTCATCAGGTTTTGTCATTATTTTTTTTTTTTTTTTTTTTTTTTTTAGGTTAGGATTGATTTCAGGAGTGGGGGGTTGATAGGGGGTCTTTGGTGTAGGTCGGTTGGTGGGTGGTCCCTATCCTATTCCTAGTTTGGCCTAGTCTTAACCTAACTTATTTGTCCTAATTTTATTTTAACTTATCTAGGCCTGTGTTTTCTGCTTTGTTGAGTGTTTCAAAAGATTGTGTTAACATTAAGTGTGGTTTTGCATGTGTTTAACTTGCTTTCAGAAAACAAAACGCTGCGTACTCTGACTGAGAAGAATTTCATGTTTCAAACTGTCAGCAACGCCACCTTCTCTGTTGATACTTTTTTCTTCATCAGGTAGGTAACACAAACAATTAGTTCACCATGTAGCATATGGAAAACGACCCTTTGTCTAGGCATATTCTGTCATCCGCATATTTAGCAGAGTACTCAAATGCAAATTGCAAAGATTTAATTTTGTAGTAACTACGAATATTAGTCATAAACATAAACAATTTACGTCACTGGCCCAAATGTCTAAAGGTGTAGCCGTAACAGCTGGTTTTGAGGTTTTTCGCAGATCCATTAAAAAAATAAAAACATGTTCACTTTAGGGCCAGTGACATAATTCGTTTATGTTAACTATCTGCCGTTTCTGTACTAATATTCGTGGAAGTAAGCATGGGAAGTGAATAAACAGAAAGTCACCCATATTTGTCAGACATAATGATCACAGCAAAAAACTAACGACAAAATCATTGGGTCAATTGATCAGTCTTCAATAGTAGTTCACTGATTAGTAAAAACTGAGTAAGTGTTTATGCAAATGAAAATCTTTATCACCCGTCAGGCATATACATGCAATTGGCATTTTTAATATAAATAAACAAATACATACAAATATCGTAGATATTAAAAAGCACACAGTAAACCATGTACAAAAACTACTGACAAAAAATACAATTGTAGTCGAAATTTTAAAATGTTTGTTTAAAAACATTTTTAACCAGTTGTTCTTTAATACTCTATTCCCCTAAAAGATATACTACTTATACCTATACCTACCTATACTTGAAGTTGAGTATCACTTTTGAAATTAAAGTACCTATCTATGTACTTTATTATTGTTTTTTTTTTTTTATTTAAAAAGTTTCAGGATATGTGAAGAAAGCGTTTAGCATACAATTTGTAAATAAGCTTTTGCTCGTTACAGCGGACTGCTTGTCACATATCTATACTTCAAATCTCTCCGGTCTGAGCCTTCTACTCGCAGAGCCATCGACTGTGGTGCAGAGTTCACTGCAGGTGCAAAGAAGTTCTTCACATTACTTGGATACCGTTTTGTCAGGTGTGTTTAAACAATTTTAACATACTTTTGATTTTTTTCATGGCTAAGACAAGATATGTTATACACTATACACATCAGAACCTCGATATCAATAATCTCGTGGGGATTATCAAATAAGGCTTTTAATCAAGTTTGCATTCTTAATAGAGGTTTGTAATAAAATGTGATTATTGGTAGTGTAAAATAAAGGGTATTTTCAAAAAGATTTTTGTTATCAAGGGTGACTTGCTATCGAGAAATCTGTTTATGGTAAAAAAATTGGTCACCATAAGTGGATCTGTCATCAGTTAGCGTGCTGTTGATTTTATGGGCTGCAAATTATCTTTGAGTTATATAAAAACAGTATTTCAAATCAGACTAGGCCTAGAGGGTTGTGCATTATCATCACTTAGATCAAATTGTTTGATGATTGGTGGGATTTGAACCCAGGTCTTCAGAAAACGAAGTTCCACACTCTACCACAAGTCCAGCTTGCTCTCCTGTTACATGATAAATTAATGATAGTGGTGAAAAACATGATTCTGCGTGTATCTTCACATAAAGGCACATCTCAAGCTCAAGTTATACTTTTCATCATAGCTAAGGTCCCTTTTCAGTTATAATTTTCCTTCACATTTACTGTTGATTTCTGTCTCAGTATTGTCTGGTATGTTCAGGTTGACGCCAGCCTACATGTTTGTGCTGGGAGTGGCCGAGCTCAACATGCGTTGGGTCAAGAACATCTCTGTGTTTGAGCCCGTATCTCTGGACAACGTCAACTGTGAGAGGTATTGGTGGCGCAACGCTCTCTATATCAACAGTCTGTTCCCCATGAAGGATATGGTGAGTACCGTGCATAAAGTATATGCAATGGAATTTGTAAATCTTATTTGTAAAAACAACCTACTGTGATAAATAGTTGTTGTTAGGGAAATGTATAGGGGAAATAGGTAGGTGTAAACACATCTAGACAAACAAACATATAAAGTTTAAGTTATGAATCCACCATAGGTTGTATGATCAGTTCGTTTGCTTATTTCTCGTTCAGACACCACAGGATCAAGTTTTTGTCCAAATTAAAAAAATGTCTGAACCTTCAGAAGCATTTTGTTAGAATAGAGTGATAACGTATCCACTCAGGTTTGTGGATACGTTAAAACACTCTATTCTAACAAAATGTTTTCCTTCAATGTTTAAGCTACTGAACGATAAATGAATACCGTACACATAAGTGGCTGTCTCATTAAAAGTCTGAAACCAATGCATACAAAGATAAGGAAACAATGGATACTGTACTTTGTATTTTGGAAAATTGTATTTTGTCGAGTTGGTAGCAGGATGAACAGTGAAACCAAGACAGCGGTGTCAATTGCCTCCCACTCTTTCTCATAAAAAGTTACCAATATAATGGCTAGATTTCATTCTTGTCCTGTACTGGCTCACCCTCTGCTTAACTTGACATGTACACGCCTTTGAGGTCCATGTAGATGGACAAAAGCAATGTGAAAAGAAGCTGAATACAGTTTTCCAGCCTTTAAAACTCACAAATAGTTTATTTGAGTAGCTTTTGGATAATATTATTTAAAAAAAAACTTAAGATATATTGTATTTTATCAAGCATCTTAGTTGGATGGAACTCTACTCTTGATTCAGACGACCCACTTTATCAAAAGCATTAACAAGTGAGTTCTTTGTCAAATAGTAGGATACAAAGTCAAATAGTGTCATATTTTGGCTATATTAGTTGAGAGGAACATTTCTCTTCTGAGCGTAGACAACAGGAATGTCCACATTGTGGAGGTCTGAAATGAGGCTCTTCACCAAAGCATCATGGACTCCATCCGGTATGTCTTGTCTCTGTTCGTTCACTACCACAAACTGTAAAATAATTAACATGTCAAAGGTCTGTAACACATTATTAAATTTAAATTTAATGATGGATTAGCTTTACACACTTTCTTAATATATTACTTCTCCATCCCGTGCTGGATAAAGTTTTTAATTCCGTACAAAATAAGGAAGTGTTTCAACAGTGGCTGGTTAGTTCTTGTAAATTTTTTAAGCTTTATGTAAATTGAGTAGCTGGACATCTAATTGAATACAGTGATTGACTAGTGATCAGTATAAGTTGCAGGTACAAGCAAGAATAAAGTCAGCTGCTTTTTGGTAGTTTGATACTGACCCAGCAGTCCATTCATTGGAACTAAGTTTTTGATACAGAAATAGCAAATCGTAGTCAGTCGATAAGAAAACATTTCACTTCTCTCTACACTCATTCTCAACTCAATATGTTTGCTTGGGTGCGTTGCTAATGTAATGCTAATGATTAGCATCTCGGACCTTGGTGCCAGAGGGTCACAGGTGCGATTCCCAGCACACCCACAAAATATATGAGTTTGGGTCGTTAGCTCTAAAAGATTTTGTATACCTCCGAAACCTCCTTTGAAAATAGCACAGAACTAGGCAATAAGAGAAAGAAAACAAAAAGTTTTCCCCTGAATAATTAAGAATTTAACAAATAATTTTGTAATGGCAATAGTGGAGTCAAAACTTGTCTCATTACAGAGGAAGCACCATAAAAGTATTTTAAATGTTAACAAAATGCTCTCTTGTAAACATTTTACAATATATACGCATATAGCAAAAGTTTAATACCTTTGGGTCAAAAGTCTTGATCATGGATTCAACGTCTAACGCCTTGAACATATTGGCCATCTGGTGATTTTGCTGAGCATTGTTGATCTGAGCAAATTGAGGGGCTGCCAACACAGCAGCACAAGAAGAGAGAAATAATGTTGCCAACAGCATGCTGTAAGGCTGAAAAATATGTCCCATCTCAATAATCTTCATAATTGAAAACTAATCTTCTAATACTGTAATGACAAACTCATGCAACACTTTGCAGCAAAGTGAACTTGTGTATGGAAAAATTGCTCAACAATGGTGTTAAAAACGTTTGCTGCTCAAATAAGTTTTCATGTTTTTATTGGATTTTGTTTTCACCAAAAGACTATAATACAACATATTGATATTGATATTAGACCTCGGTGTTGTCATTAAATTCTCATGTTATGGTTTAACCAGATTTGGGTAAAATACATAATAACGATCAATGAGCTACTGACAGATGAGTATGCTGCTTTCTATAGAGCTTCATAATAGTGGCACTCCAGACACAGAGAGTAGTTTGTTCTAGAGAGTAAAAAAAAAAAACCGATCAGTATAAGGAATATCTACTTTACTATTTAAAGTAAAAATTGGACCGAGTACAAATTGCACCGAAGCTGTTTTTGCAGGATTGAGAAGTACCTTCTTAAGGAAACCTCAGTATTTAGGCCATAAATTATCAAAATAATAGTTTAGAAATACATACTCACAAGGCGTAAGAATTTCCAAAGTACCTTGCCCACTTTACAACAACTGAACTCTCCTATCAAATCGTAATCTGATAGTGAGTGACAATTGTCATTATACTACTGTATCAATTAAAATACCCATTTAGGATATAGAAATATAATCGATCATCAACTAGCTTATAAAAATAGTTATGTTGTTGTGTTAACTATACAAGGGATCTATGGTTAGCTTTGTTTTTTTTAAGTAGACATCCCAACAAATGGAGGAGCTGTGGACATAAAATAAAACTGAACTGCCATCAAAACTCCCCTTTCTATCTTTGTTTTCAATGCTTTGATAATTAATGTGACATATAACATGCTATCTTTTACTGGATATCATTATTTCAGTTTGGCTTTTAGTTCAAATTGATTGAATAGGGCAAAAAGAAAATCAGTACAGTAATTGACATGATCACACTTTCAGTAGCTCAACACAACTATGTTCATTTTCATTCTAAAACTGACAAGATCTTAAACATGTGGCTGATGGGATGTCTTCTTTTCTGTTTCTCTTTAGTCAATGATACCGCTATACAGTAGTTGGTTTTAAAACTTAGTTGGTCTAGTAAGAAACACACCACCCACAATGCTTGCCGTTTATACTTTCATAAAACTTGATTTTTTTTTAACTTATTTCATAAAAAAATTCCTCCAAAATTTGACTTTGGTTTTTAAAACTCTGCTAGTAGCCTGTGTGTTTTTGAATTGTAAAATAATAGTTTTTAATTTATATTTATTGGACAGGAAATGACAGTTTTAGAGAGAGCAAATGTTATTTTTTGAAAGAGAGAGAGCACTAGATCTAGAAACAAATTAAGAAATGGATACACAATTAAATTAAAGAAAATATGTCTATTCAGTTGACAGCATACAAAAAGCTCACAACACATTAAATTTGATATCCTACTTCCTTTAGTTTAGTGTGATATCAACTGCCTGAGCCTCTTTTCTTGGGTGAGTAAGTTGTGTAACCACCCATTATGCATTAAGGGGAAATTATTACAATCTATTAGTATTTCATCTGAAAGTTTATTCCGACACTAGGATTGATCATGTCGACTTTGCCGTTGCTCCGGGCAAACTGAGAGTCCATGACAATGTTGAGGTTAGTCTTGTCGTCTCTGAAAGCGTTCCAGTTGACAGTGTTGCGGACTGTGTTGCCGATGTCGCTAGTACCTGGTCCACCCCACTGAGTCCTCATTTTGACTGGCCTGTCTGATCCTGGGAATACAATAGTTAGTTAAATGGGTGAAATCTCAAAAATATATTTAAATATAGCAAAATACCTTAGTTAATATTTTCAACCAGTAGCTAACATTATTGATAGATAGGGAACAGAGCTTTCAATAAATCTAGAAGAAACTATCTAAAGAAAAGGCTGATCAAAGTAACTCATCTGCACAAGACATCTCACTCCATTCTACTCTTAATTTTTCACTCATGTTCAGGTTTAAATACTTAGTGTCTCTGCCTCAACAATGATTAGCCAATAAGGTTCTTATAAAAATAGCTTGATAAAACATATTTAACCAAATAATGTATAGATAAAAATTATGTCTTCCAACACTGCTTGATACATTTACATTTATTACTATGTCCATTTGAAAGGCCGTAAATTGGTAAGTATATATATAATCTTAACATTAGCTATCAATTTTAGCCAGACACATCCTCTTCATCAACTGAAGTTTTAATATATCTAGTAGTTCCTAGTGGCAGGAACATATTTTTCATCCCTAAGTTTCATCATTTATATACCTAGTATAAATGGTAATACAATTTTTTTTTAGTAAATAACTAAACAAAATTGAATTACACTCCAAAACCGTCAAACAAAGTGGCTTTCTATAGCGTACAAGTTGATAGGTTTTGCTCACCAAGTGCTCGCTGGATGGAGTTGATCATGTCTCGCACCTTGCCCTGAGCGAGCATCTCCTTCCATTGCTCAGCGTCGAGTAGGTTACTAACTCCAAGAGTCTGAGGCTCCTCAAAGTTAGGCCTGTACTCGATGTTACCTCCGTCAACAGAATTTCCATTCTCATTCTCTACCTGTGTCGGTGCACTCTATAAAAAAGTATATTTGTATGAATTATTACTACTAATTGAATTCTAGTTATGTAATATAAAAATTTAAAACAGGGTGATGACAAGTGACTAAATATACTCTCATAACGCTTTTGTAGTCAAGGGGAAAATGTTTATTTTAATTTCAGTTTGGTTTTGTTTCAAATTTTGATGCTTAGTCTATTGGGTAATCTAAGAATTATTTTAAACCTTAAAAAAAGTAATTAAAAACATTATATTTTATCACATATTGATTTTCAAAAGTTATCCGTTTGTTATACAAAAAGATTGACATTGTGTTACCATCAACAAATTACTTGGAAACTTACATACTCATTTGGCCGAGCTAATGTAGAAGTTATGGCAACCAAGATGGTAAGGGGAAACACTGTCCAATCCATTGTTCTGAAAACAAAATATAATTAACTTAGTACAAAAGTTTATAGATGTTAATTTGTCTGAGGTGTCACTTTGTTACACAGCCATTCTTGCAAAAATAGTGCACTTGTTGCTCGAATTCGAGCAATTTCAAAGTATTACAGGCGTTTTTTCAAAACTAATAACAGTCACAATTTCCGATTACTTAAAAGAGTCAACTCAAAGATAATGTAATCAATCACTCCACTCCAGTTATCAAAACTGGAAACAAACTCACTCTGAAAACGAACACTCCACTCTAGCCAGTTATCGAAACTGAAAACGAACTCACTCTGAAAACGAACGTTCTTGTGGGTTTCAATGGTTTACTATGAACAGCTGTAATTAATACAAATTATTCGTCTGTTTAAGTAAACAAAATCTTTTCTTCATAAGAAATACATTGATATTTTGATGACCTGTGGGGCAAAGCCCGAGGACTTTTATTACAGGAATTGGTGAAAGGGGGCGTCTACACAAAAAATACTTAATTTTGACACATCGTTTGTAAAAATCCGTCCATTATTAATGGAGGAGTAGTGTTTCGTAGAAAACGCCTTCACGTATTATATATAAGGATAATAATTAATTTCCTTTTTGTAACCCCAATTTGTTTTTATTTTAACTACATTTGTTTTGTTTATTTATTAAGTAATAACACAACAAAAATATTAACAGCATTCTAATACTATAGATATTTTTTCACTCATCAAGAATGTTTCTTAAGCCAAGGATAATCTGTTCTATGATATTAGTCTTATTTTACTTTTTATAGTACTTATTTTAATTTTTTCCAGTAGGCCTAAATATGATTGAATGGAGTGACTTTGGTTGAGTTTTTGAAGTATGTTTGGAGTAGTTTTCTAACCATCAAAATCCACATACTTTTATCATGATCGAATCGGCTACCTTATCTGGATCTGATGCTAAAAATGACAACTAATTATTGTAATGTTCCTACCTCAAATCTTATGGCACAACCCGTCAGAACTTCTAGATTCTTCTATATAACTAATAAAGTTTGTTATCAATATAATCTACTTTTATCAGAACATCTCCTCTACTTGTCAATTAAATAAATTTCAACGTCCATAAAACTAATATGACTCATCTTGCTTTACATGTCGAAGAATTGTAGTTTAAAATCTGTAAAAGTTTGTTTCATATGATTGACACAGTATTAAAAGTAAGCGGTATCAGCAAACTGACGCATACTTTCTCCCAATATCATTTCAAAAACTTTTGTAATGAGCAAGTGGTGGAAGTAACCATATTATTTTATGAGCAAAATTACAAAAGTAGCAAAATATTTTAAACTGTAATTTTTACAGTTGTACCATTTTGATTAGTTGGAAGGACCATAACTTAGAATACAAAATTTTTATCAAAATCGTTCAAAACGGTTTTTGTGAAAATCAGATTTTTTTCAGATTTTTTTCGTGGGTTTTTATGGAAAAATCACTGAAACTAAAAAAATTTTGATAAAACAATACTTATTTTTACAAATACTATGAACATAGGGGGAGAAAGTTAAAGGTTGAGAAATCCCCATTGAAACTTTAACCACACGGTTATCTCCAGAAGACTAAGATATTACATTCATTTACCCTACATACTTTGTTACTCATTCAAAATTATATGATTTGTCTCACTTTTTTACTCTATCCCTCTGTACATCCCAGGGTATATAAGGAGAAAGTACCTAACATTTTAGCCAAAATTTTTGGGATTGAGTTTTTGGTGGAATCCAGTGTGGTTCCCCCGAACCTAAAAAAGTGGTATACGAAGTAATATGTGTGTGTGGATGTGATAGAGCAACATACTTCACCTGTGGTCCAATTTTGATGGAATTTTGTATTCATGATATCTCCAGATGTTTTCTTTAAAATATTTTTGTAATTTTGATTTTTAATGGTGATTTACTCATAAAAACCTATAAATTAATTGAAAAATTGGATTTTAACAAAAATAGCTGGAATGATAGAATTTATTATGTTACGCCCGTTTTAACTCTAAAAAATTAGTAAAATTCCTCCAATGCTGTTAGTTCAAAAAGTTATTGCAGGTTTCAGTATTTTCTCTATAAAACAACCATAGCTACTCCACTGTCCACCATGAGGGTTGTTGACAAGCTAATGGGAGACAGTTGGTGTCAGATTGCTGATAGTACCATTTATTTAGGTACTAATTCTGATTATCAAAAACAGTTTGTATTTAACTGTCAACTGTATTTGATCACAGCTAAAATTTGGATGTGATAGGCCTATAGTCAGGAAAAAGTAGTTAGTTGTACCCACCATTAAAATTTTCATTATTCATAACATATAACGTATAACATAGTTAAAGATGTACTTGGGAGAGAGGGATGTACATTGGCGGAGAGGGGGAACATACCCTCCCTCGCCGTTACCTCCCCTACATGCGCTAAATATTTCTCGTTATCTAAAGCCCCCCATACACTATCCAACATGTTGGACGGACATGTCGGGATCCAACGTCTTGTCGAACATATTGGACAGTGTGTGGGTTCCGACCCGACATGCTCGACGGATATGTCAGGTCGGATGCTCGGTCCGATAGCACCACCCGACTCGAGCCGTCCGCCTGACATGTTGGACTAGTTTCCAGTTAAACTTGTATTTAGCGAGTTGTGCGTGATAACCGTCCCATTTTTCCATAATGTCATTTAATAATAATAAACAGGTCTGGTCAGAATTTATTTAGCTCTACAGAGACCAGAAGGCGTTGTGGGATGTCAAAAGTAAACTCTATTGCAACAAACATGCGCGTAGGGGCACGATATCCTGATAGAAAAGTGCAAGGAACTGTATCCAGAGTGTGATTTAAAGTTCGTTAAAAAATATAGGCTCTAAAAATCCCTAAAATCATCGCTAAAAATCCCCCTCAAACAGCTAACAGTCGTTTCAAAATCTATCTCAGAACTAATATTTCACCTGACTTGTTGGGTAACATGCTCGATAGTGTGTGGGAAACACCCGACATAAGTCAGGTTGGATGATGGGTCCGTCGTCAGGTCAGGTTGTCAGGTCGGGTGGCATGTTCGATAGTGTATGGGGGGCTTAACCGGCCGACCTATAATATAGTAATTAATGTTTACATATTCAGTAATAACAATAAAAACATAAAATATTTGTAATAAGTTATATTTATTGAGCAATATCACATTTTAATGCATGTACAAAATATCAAAATTTACATATTTATTTCACTATTTGTCTAGTAGTATATGGTAAACTGGACTCCTAGACCAGGTTTCTTTAGTCCAAAACCATTTCCATCGTACCACAGCTCAGTAGAACCAAAAGCTTTGAGGGATGTTTTTCGATCGTCACTTCGGAACAAGCTGTATGAGCCGATGGCGTCCAAGCTTACTACTTTCTTCACTCTTTGCATTTTCATCTTCAAGTCTAATTTTTTGTCATCTGCCAGCCTCCTTCGCCTTATCAGTGTTCCCTGAAATTTGTTATATTATTCTTAATAATAACTCTATCCTGTCTTTACCTTCAAAGTCATGCATTTGAAATTTAAATTTGTGGTGTTCAAGACAGTTGTCATTAAACAATATTTCAGCTCAGGTTTTAAGCCGTGTTTACGTATTACATTTACAGCTTAAAACGAGTGCTGTAAACAAATGTAAGAATACTACTTTGACTACTTAGGAAAACAAAATTGTTTGTGTAAACACTGAAAACCTATTGAAAAAATCAAACAAATTCTATCTTTACGTTGTTGTAAGCTTTTCTTTAAAACAAGTGCAGTGAAATCCTGTGTAAAAGCTGCATTAGATAATCTATCTAGCAAGAATTAAATTTTGAATCAATCAATATAGTGCTAAATTTATTAGGTACCTATGTCAAATTAAGTTAAATGGAAAAGACTTATTTATTGTTAACATTACGTCATTTAAAGCTTAAATATATACTCGTTAGTTAATCTACTGATAACCAAAAATACAATAGTAAAGACTAAGAAAATATATTAAAGTACTTTTTAATTCTACTCTATTAATTGAATATTAACATGAAAGTTATCTGCAGTTTCTTTAACATGGAGATCATTTACATAACTTACATCACTTGATTCACCGTTGTTTACATCCATGTTTACTGGAATGTTGTTGACATTTTGATTGGAAATCAAATGCTCTCTTCTTGAGAAGTTGGGATCTGCTATGACGGTGTTCTGTAAATAGTTACCAATTATTGTATGACACAAACCATTCAACAAAAGTTATATTTTAAAAAATTAGCACAAGATTTTTGTAAAAAAACTTTATTATGTGGTGGATATTAAGAACTTTAATTCCACAACAGTTTGAAATAAGTTCTCTTTCATGTTCAATTTAGTGTTCTAAACTACTCTGGAAACATATAATTTTATCAATATACAAATGAAGTTCCGTTGTAAGAAATTAATGAAATTATTCCTATAAACAATTTTTTAAAAGATAAGTGATTGTTCTGTATATTTTTTTCTCAAGTTACATATGAATATAGTGATATTATTGGATAAAACAAAGCTTAGCATTGCATGGTTTTTTAAGTACTTGGCTTTGTAAGGTTGGCATTTCAAAGTAAAGTATTAAAGTGTTTTTGTGATGGTGAGTTTATGTTTTTCAAAAGAGTATTGAGGGAATTTATCTAATTCGTAAAACTTACCCCCAAGGAATCAGAAAAGGCAGCATGGCGAGGTATTTTATTAATCATATCTGGACTGTTCTTATAAAAGGCTGTCATGGTTCCAGAAAATGGAGCAGCAGCAATAAAACTACATCCCACAACCAATAGTGAGCACAACAGCAACATGGTGGCTGTAAAAGAAGTGTTGTCCTTTTAATATTAAAATACCTATTCTAGAACCCACATTCTCAATAACAATTTATTTAGATAACTACAGAGGTTTTCAAAATTAAGTCGGTACCGATACCACACATGCACAGAATAATGCAAGAGAAGCATTACTTATGTTGCCATTAGCTAAATAATACATCCACTGATGTGAAAAAGATTTCTAAGCAGTAGTTGACCTGGAAATAGCAAATTCGGTCAACATGATTTTGAATGCATTGTTATAAATTCAGAGTCAGACTCAATATTTTTGAAATAGAGCCAATTCATTTTAACGTCTAACTATTGTGTATATGAAATGATATTATAGTTCTGAATCAAAAGTTTGATTGGTATAAATCAAACTTATTGTACTTTTGGTTAGGGTTTGAAATATTTGTGTTCCTGTTAAACTGTAAATGTAAAGTAAATGCCCCATAGAAACACAAGGCTTTTTGTTTTTTTAATAAAACTACCTATGTCATAAGAGTACAGTATTAATGACCAACTATTTTGAGAACCAAACCTTGATGTTTGATTTAAGTAGGTAGGGCCACTACAATTTATTATTAACAAGAAAAAGTTTTACTTAAACGATGTATTATAAAAATTCAAATAAACATGTACTTACCAATTGCTAATAGATTGTTCCTACAGACCAATCACCACTCCAATAAAAGGAACTATCAGATGGACATTGATTGTGTGTTCAGTTTAGATTTAAGTGATAACCTCATAATGTTTATTTCTAGTTCGTTAACAAATAAACTAAAACTAAGTTTGATTGCTGCTGCGAACATGGATTGAAAATTACCTGCATAAAATGCTAGGAAAATTAGGTTACTGTACACGTTTTTATTTTAAACATTTTTTTGGTGTTTTGAAATTGTTTAGAAGCTTATAAAAATTAAGTCTATAATACCAAGTGCCAACTATTTTTGATATCTGTAAATAGCCTGAGTTAATTGATATATTCCCTAAAGTAAAATTAAAAAATTATTTTGTTGTTACAAAAAGCCGAATTTAACCTCTTACTTTCATGTTTGCTCTCCTTTTAATGCTCACAAAAAACATTCATTCACTATATGATAGTAAATAAAACCACACTAACTTGACTATTTGTAGACCCAGAACCCAGACAATATAGGATGTCGAGTTATCCAGAGCATTGAAATTTATAATGGGTTTTTGTAAATGAACTCATAACAGACTAATGTTTAGCCTACATTTAAATGTATTACTTACATGAGTATTTTTTACATATTGAATAATAATCTTCAAATAAATGTTGAATTAAAGTTCAAACTAAATGTTCTAGAAAAAATTATTATTTTTGTGTGCACCCTATCAGCTGTTAACTGTTCATTTATTGAGGTTCTACTGTACCTACTGTTTGAATTTCCGCCCCATAGTAACACATGACTAATCTGACCTTCCCCACTTGAGTTTCCAGGAGTTAGTCGCAGTTCATAACTACATATACTTGAACAAAGCTCACTCCCTATTAGAAAGGCCCTCTATATATGAGGGAGCTACCTGTAGAAAAAACAAGTGTTAATCGACTCTTTTGAAAGGAAATGAACTTTTATAACCTGTTCCTGTATAACCTGTTATAACCACTTGTATGAATTGGATACAAGGACGAATGTACCTTTATACATGTATAATGAGTATTATAGATGCTCAACATTTGGACAACTTAATTTTACAAATCAACTGTTATAGTTAGGTGAGAGATTTCTACTTATCTGGCGAAGAACAAATCCCACGGTCATATTAAGCTTAACCATTTATTGCTTTAGCTGTTTAGCAACTACGCTGGCGTTCCTGGAAAGCTAAATCAAGCAGAAGGTTTCTTCACAAAATTAAAAAATAATTAACCCTTGTAAACTATACTCCATTCTATGTTCTCCGAGTAATACAGGTCTTGTGAGAGAGAATATTGTGCTTCTCCTACTGGAAACATTATATTTATTGGGTCAACTGTCCTTGCTACCCTTGTTACCAAAAATGCCATTTGAAATACACGGCTTATGTTGGGGGAGTGAACATGAAATGGATAGTAGAGTATTGAATATATTTGTCTTTTGTGATAGTTACTTTACAACAAAGGTACTTATGATCTCACCATTGTGTTTTAGTGCATGTTGTGGAGCTGGTATCTCGCCAACGACACTCAGTTCTACGCTGTTGGAATCTTAATATTGCTCATATCTGTCAGGTATGTTACAAAACAGTGAATTTGTATTAGGGTATTAGTCTCTGATTAAATAACTACAATAGGTTCTACCCGCGAATCCACGGGTGTACTATTCAGAAGCCACAATTTTATTAATTTAATTAATTTTGACTTCATATTTCATTTAAAGGGCCCAAGCTCAAGAAATTCTCATCAGAAGGAATGTTAAAAGCAGTGGGACCTTCATACCTTATGTCCTGAGGTGGCTGACGTGGTTGCACCATCGGTTGTACCTGAACTCGCCGCTCTCTTTCACGACATCCTGTTAAAGATCGGTGACAACCTCTTTGACAACCAACAGACACGTTTTTTTGTCTTTCAAACATCTAAAGCACTCACTTGTATCAAACAGCTAGAAATAGCATCAGTGTTCATTTACCGCACCTCTTTGAACATACAAAAAATAATAATATAAGTAAACAAAACTGTAAATAAAAATAATCAAACTACTGTCAATTTTATTGAACAGCTGTTTTCGATAAATTAGTCGAATAATGTTAACTTTTAAAAATTAAGGCGTAGCCATTTTGAAATCGGCCTGTGGGGCAGAGCCCTAAGAGAATTCGTTCATACCAATACTTTTCGGCAAATCTACACACTCTCGAGCTTCATTTTGATGTGCCATATGCCTATAATTTTATTTGGTTAATGGCCTTAACCATTTACATAAAATTTTATTGTATTACTTTAATAATATAATAGATTTGATATAACATTTTTCAAAATTGTTAAACCACTCGCTGAAAATATAATATTTTATAAGACTCAGTTTTAAGCCCCTTCAAAATTCCTCTTTCTTACAAATATTTTCATGTGTCAACGTTTGACTTTTGTAACAGAAAATGAATAAGATAGCTACTTCTTCCCAATGACCATTTAAAAAACCAGATCAAGAACATCTGGATCCTTGAACTGTATCAAGTCAGCTACCCAGCTAATGAGCAAGCAGGAAATACATGTGCTTTGGGGCTATAGCTGAAGCATGTATTTGTAGTACAAGTAATTTATCTCATAGGTAGCTATATTCTACCCCAGGAATGGAGTAACTCCAGCAGTTGCAACTTTTAGTAATTATATGTCCCTCCTTCTTAATACAATTTTAAAAGATATGTGTTGCATTTTACAGCAGTTTGTTTCATTTTGTATTTCAGGCATTTCCGTGTTGCAGTAGCAGCCCTTCTGGTGTTTCTGTTCACTTCATGGCTGACAACTGGTCTCATATCTGCTGAGTATCAGTACAAAGTCAGGTATATGTCACAAACGAAATATTTTAAAAATAACAAAACTCGTAAATTAATATATTTCTAACTTAAGTCAATGTTTAAAAATCTTATCTTTTGATGGAGTACAGCGTGTGAAAATTAGGGTCCAGGTGCATAAAAGATTTTTGGTCCTAATAAAGGACTATTCCAGAGGGTAGCTTCAACAACTCTATTAGGGTACGCCCAGAGTCTTGTGACCTTTTATTGTGTTTCTATTAGCACCTAATGCTGTGTCTAGCTTTAACAGAAAAGCTAGCTCAACTCTCTCCTTATTGCAAGCCTGACTCTTGGGTAACTAACTTTTTCAAAGATACTTTTAATTTTCAATATCTATCTGATGTGATCTTGTAGAGTTAGCATATTATGATAAGCAAAATGTGTTCACAGATTATTATTGTTATCTATCTCTACCATTTTGAAAATTTTTATATTATTTATATTTCTAGTTTTAATTTACCTCTCTCTCTCACACACAGGGTGGAGCAGCCTGAGTTGCAGTTGTTTGATGCTATATATGACAAGCCATGGACTCGCCTCGGCCCCTACCTTGTGGGCATGTTCTCTGGATGGTTCCTCTTCAAGACAAAGTGCAAGGTTCACATATCAAAGGTGAAGTGATTCTTGTTTACTATACAAAATCTATAAGAGTATAAACTAGGTGAAATTTTGGGGCTGTGTTAGCTTAAAACTCTAGCAGATTTAGTGATATTTGAAAATCCAGGTGTTGGTAGGATTCGGGTGTCCAAAATTTTTTGAGCTTTTTTTTAAGATTTAGAGTAAAATGTCTTGACTTTCAAGAAATACTGTACTTCGCATATATTTTAGTGTAATTTATTATTTGTCAGATCAGTAAGTCCATACTTCTCGGGCCATATTGTAGTAGTGGTAGATACGGTGGTTGCCGGGGACATCAGCCTCACTTGGGTCTTCAAGGGAAATGTTTTTCAATACCTTTCAAAGCAATAAAATTTTTAACCGCCTTGATCATGGTCCGTGACCCGAAGTACATTTTGGACCTGTGACCCGAAGTAAAAAGGTCTGTCCCGCAGATCCCTACTAATATTATTATCACAGAAATAAAATGGAATTATTCATTAGCTAGTCTCCTAGGTCTGTTCCTGTCTGATATGATCGTAGAATACAAAGGATCGAGTTCATCACGTTTAAGCAATACTATGTGTATTTCAATCGAAACCCCCTAAGCCCCAGCACCAGTATCATTATAGAGGGACTTCTCTGGTGTTAGCCTTTGGGGGGCCTCATCGATTCTAAAGTATGGCCCTGCATTCTTTTCCATAAAGTGAATTGGATATTTTTCTTTGAGATGTTTTCTTTTGACCTGTCCTAGAAACGGGCGTCTTAGTCCAAATTTTGTGGGAGGATCCCGTTTTTGAAAATTTGCTATGTCACTATTATCCTAAGCTGGCCTCCAGAACAAAATTTTTGAAAAATCGTATGTATGTTCAAAAAACAATACAACTAAAGGTTTCCTTCTGGTATGACAATGATTGTTGGTGTCCCCAGTTCACGACCGTGGCGTGCTGGTTCCTGTCGCTGCTGGTGTTGGCCAGCCTGGTCTATGGAGTGTTGAACGCACAACTGGACATCACGGGTTCAGCCATCTACACAGCCCTCGGTCACACAGCTTGGGGCGGAGCTCTCAGCTGGATCGTCATAGCTTGCTGCACGGGTCACGGTGGTCAGTTGTACATAATTTTAAACATTTATTATTTTCTTCATACATACATTAAGGATGAGTTTTAAATTAATCCCCCCCCCCCCAACTTTTTCCTACGTTTTACCTTACGCAAGGTGTCGACTCCAGGCTGGTTAATTAGCAGTTGTATCTCTCTTCCCAACTCAAACCTTCCTTGTTTAAGAATACTGTCAAGAGACAGCGGAGTATCTAGTTTTTGTCTAAATGTGAACATTATTTTGTATATCTTGCACCAAAATGAACTCTTCTGAATTCAGATATGCCTGCTATCCTAATAAACATTAAAACCTAAACTCTCCTATATGATGTCCTGTGTTACATCCTTAAACTTAAACTTCACTTTGACATTCTTAATTCAATTGACATATACACAGATACAGATAGAGGTTATCTCACTACATTATAAACTCACTCTGCACTCATAATCAGCTTAAAATAGGTATTTATTTAGCGATGCATGTACACAAAGTCTGTCACTGTTTCAATAAAATTATCAAAAGAAGTAAAGTGATGATGTCACCTTTGTCAAAATACATTATGTAGATATATTTTATAACATGTAGGAAAAATGATGGAAGTATAGGAACATCAATTAAATTAAAACTGCCCAGTGTAAATCATGTATGTGTTTGTTTTGGTTTTATTCTTGTTTTTGAACCACAATAGCTTAGCGGTACTAAATATCCCTACATTGCAAACTACGTTATTTCATTTCAGGCGCAATACCTAAATAGTTTCATAATTTGTTTCTATTGATTCTAACAAACCATTTACAGGTTACATAGACACTCTGTTGTCATGCCGCCTACTCCATCCTCTGTCGAGACTGACATACTGCGCCTACCTCATCCATCCTGTATTGATGGCTTCTGTCAGCTTCCAGATGGACGGTCCCCTCCATCTTCACAATGGTCTGGTTGTAAGTATTTTTTCTTTAGTTTATTATCGAATTTATGTTAGCAGTGAAAAAAACAGTCTGAATATATTCTGATATTTTTAAAGGATATGTGTACTAGAGCTGATAAAGTATTGATTACTTTAAATTATTTTTATTTTGTAGAATAACACAAATTGTCCACTAAATGATTCTGGTTTTTTTTATTTTTCAGCTGGTGTTGTACTTTGGAAACGTTGTAGCTTCTTTCTTAATCTCGTTCTGTATTTCAATGACATTCGAAGCTCCGATCGTTCGTTTGCTCAAAGTCGTGACTTCTCCCAAGCCAACCAGGACAAATTCTATTGAAGAATAGTGCATTTCATGAGGGTATTTATACTTTAATATAGACTGTTGTGTGTGTGTGTGTAAAAAGTGTTTTATAATCGTGCCAACATTAATTGATGTTCTTTTGAAACTGGTGAAAAGTGAGTTTAAGTGAGTGCACTAATAGTTTAAATTGTGTGGCAGTAATTTCAGAAATTTCCTACAACAAAGCACTACGTGTTTGCAGTTGTGTTACTAAATTAAATAAGGCAAATCTATATGTTAGGTACATATGTTTGCTGAAAAAACTTATTTTCTTAAGATAAACTCATTTTGTAAAGTCTAAGCTCGGTATCACAGGATTTAAAATGTAGTGGACAGTTCAAATCAACATCCTATTCCTTCCTATGTATTTGTTTATGTGTAAATTCAGTCTGTTTTACAAAATTTCCTTCATTAAAGACTTCTTTTAATTTGTATCACTGAATGACTACACATAAATTGTTCTGATGAAGGTGTGGCAGGGGTGCCCATCCCCCCCTAGACTCATGACGCACCCCCCCCAATTGAGCGACAGCCCCCCCCCCCACCATAAAAAAATGAGGTACACAACAAATGAGAAACATAATTCCCCCGCCCAGCACTATTTGAAAACCCAGTTATCTATATAAATAAAGTTATAGTTTTGTCTGTACATTGCTCAGAATGATACATCTATCTATCTATCTATACTATTATAAAGAAGAGGTGGTGTCTGTGTGTGTGTTTGTATGAGCTAATCTCAAAAACTACTGAACCTATTGGGCTCAAATTGCACACACATGAAGCTACAGTTCCGAGGATACATATAGAACTATTCCCGCTTCAATATTGTCCTAGGGCTCTGCCCCGTGGGCTTTCAAAAATCGGAGGTGAGAGATTTCAAAGTAAATTTTGATTGATGGTATCCATGACAACAAAGAACAAACCTACAAAGTTTAAAAATGTAAACAAGCAGTACTAACTGTCAAATTAATTTTGATTTCACAATTCCATACAGCTGGTTCAAACATTCATTTAAATACTGCATGAATATTAGAACAAAGAGGGTAAGGATCATATTTAAAATAATGATGTCACTATCCTGAATGTAAACATTATTTAACATTACTTAAATGGAGCTGTCAAACCATACGCTAATGTCACTTTATACTTACATGCCAACCCCGTACGAAGGACGGGTACTCTGCTAGTATCTTATATATTAAAAGTGACAGGGTTTTTTTATTTCACGATTCTGAATCAACCACTTTGACGAATTTTCATGATTTTTGTGTTGAAAGAATAGTTATTTGTGTAACTAGTGGTGAAAGTGGCACTTTGCTGCACACGAGAGCAATGTTTACGCACGAGCCGCAGGCGAGTGCGGAATGATCTCGAGTGCAGCAAAGGCCTTTTTCACTCGTGTTACACATTATATTTTTCCTACAGTCACTATAAAACATAAATAATTAGTCTTTCAAACACTATACAACACGTTTTTAGGTTCAGCTAGCAACACAATTACACAAATGGTGCCCTGGAGAAAGTAGTACCCGTGGTCCGTATCACTCCGCTATTTTTCCTCGGCAAGAAATGTGCTCCGTCTTTTGAGAATATAGTTCCGTATGTTTTTGTAATTTGAAGTGGTTTCCGCGCCTAAAAAAAATGCTTTAAAGGTATTTTCTTGTTTATTAAGACCGTAGGAATGTTTTAAAAACGTTTAAAAGAAAAGTCCAGAAAGTTCAGAAATACCAAAACTATAAACACGAAATGACAGGTTAAATCGTAGTTATAATAGTCAATCAGCTGTTCATAGTATTATTATCTTTAAGTGTTGCCAACCTATTTCCAAGCGTACACGGATTACGTGCATAATAAAACCACGCTGTTTTGTGTTGTTTGGTTGGAATCCTGATGTGCGGCAAAGTATAAACCGTGCGGCAAAGTATAAACCGTACGGCAAAGTATAAATATGCAGCAATTAGCAGCTTTCTGTACTATAAACAGTACAGGGAAGCCAACTTTGTCGGGTGACTGTAGGAAAAGATAATTTTGAGAACTAGGGAATGTCGAAGCCATAATTTTAGTTTAGGGTTTCAGTTTTTTAGTAATTTAGTTTAAAATTTTAAAAAGTCTAGCAGCCGACGCTAACATTCTACTCTAGCTTTTGACATAATATCATTTGCAACAGCTGTAAACATTCAGCGTTTTCGACACAAATTCAGCCTTTGAATGAAAATGAAATGACATACGTAGAATTGACTTATTTTTAATATGTGTAATGCTTTCAATCATTGATACGTTCATTTATTCGGTAAGAGAATGAGAGTTTATTTAAATACACATAATAAAATACTAGATGTTCTAATTTATTTTTTGAGCAGTCTTTAAAATATTTAGTTTGTTTTAGTGCAATATAATTTGTTATAACTACCAGCTGGATGGATATAAAAATATTCTATAAAACTATTAGGTTAGTTTATTTACTCTGTGATTTTGTCATTGATTATAGGAAATAAGTAAGATTCTATAACCATTGCTGTATACTAATCAAAGCTCACGAATCTTCAAAAGAAAGCTTATGAAAATTATTTTACTACTCGACATTTTTATGAAAAGTTGGGAAAATAACAATGAAAACATGTTTTAATTCATCTTGGCAGCTTTTTCTTTACTATAAATCTTGAGTTGATTAAACTATGCTTGAATTAGTAATAGACACACTATATACAATTTTAATGGACTACTCGATTCCCGTACGTAGGACGGGCCAACAGCTCGTTTTGGGTTATTTTACGTTATCTCAATTTATGTTCGGCTGCCATGGCCCGGAAGGCATCTTACGCAGTCTACTCTAAAAAAACTAAGATTACCCATTATGATTCTAATGGTTTAATTGTATTCACAGGATTGGCGAGAGTGTCCTTAGCCATTAAAATATGGCCTCACTATTTTGGAAATAAAATAACGGACGATCAAAAACCCAATTTGGTGTGATTTTTCTAGTTTTTCTCCATGTTTACTACATACGTCATTTATTAAATACTAATAATCTATTACGGACGATCAAAAACCCAATTTGGTGTGATTTTTCTAGTTTTTCTCCATGTTTACTACATACGTCATTTATTAAATACTAATAATCTATCATAATATAAGAGAACACGTCATATATGAAATTACGAACAGCTGTTTTGATAAAGATTCCTTTTTCTAGCTGTCACTGAAATGTTTACATAAATGTTGTTTACAAATACTGTGTAGGCCCTAACCATTTCTGATCACGTTTGTAAGCAAATTCAAAACCATAAGTGAGATTAATAACCGTGTGGCTTTGGCTTGCATAACGGGTTTGATTTATCACGGGTAATATGTAACTGTAAATTAAATTTTTTTTTTAGAATAGAATAGAATAGAAAAATTCTTTATTGCTCAATGTACATAATATACAGTTATTGTAAACAATCACAATAGTATTAAACACAATTCTGGTTATAATATTTATACAAATATGCCTATGAACTTACACAAAAATTTTTAAACCTTAACTGTTTAAAACATGGGATATAATAATAAGAGAATCATAGAGCAATAAAGCCCTGAGGTTATAAACCTGTGCGGGATCTAATATTTTTGAATCTTACACAAACTCAGTAGTAGGGTAGAGAGTGCCTGGCCGGATCAGTACCACAGTTATACTACACAATATTTAAAAATAACATAAACGTGGCTTCTTCACATGAAACAATATTAAAAATCTTCCTTAATTCTTACGTCTTATTAAAGTATTAGGCATTGTTTAACAAACTATCACTAAGACTATAACTATCAAAAGAAAACACTATGTCTTTATATTAGAGTAGTAAAAAATTGATTAATGTCATTATGGTTAAGTAAGTAGTTACGTATAATTTTATTGAATTGGTTCTTGTTTTTACACTCTTTAATATAGTTTGGAAGTAGATTATAAAACGTTGGTGCTAAGTACAAAAAATATTTTTTGAAATGGGATAAATTGGGTCGCGGAACATACATTTTACCCACGTTCCTTAATGTGATATTGCCCTGGTTCATTCTGTTTGTATCACATCTATTAAAAAAAATTCTTAAAACCTTAAAAACGTATAAGTTTCTAAAGGGCAAAATGTTTAAACTTTGGAAAAGAGGTAGAGAAGGTTTGGTTTTTGTTTCGTTTAGTATTATTCTGACGAAGGCTTTTTGTAGTGTGATTATTGGTTTTAATGTGGTAAAATATGTCCCACCCCAGATTTCTATGCCATATTCAATTTTTGAATTTATGAATGCGAAATAAATTGATCTAAGAAGCTGTATATAACATACGCTTCTGAGCATGTAGAATATACGGATGTATTTTACTAATTTTAGTTTTAAGTATGAAATATGTTCTTTCCAATTAAGTTGGCTGTCCACGTATAAGCCTAAATACTTTATGCTTCCTACTTGCTCAAGGTCTTGACAGTTACAAATGTTAAAACTTGTAGGGCATGTTACGTTGTGATATTTCAGGGATTTTGCAAAGTGTGTATGTTTTGTTAGGTTGAATATGATATATTTGGTTTTTGGGCTCATGACCATTAAATTTGATGTAAACCACCACCTCAGAGCATTCACGTCATGTTGCATTTTAGTATTTAACTCACATAATGAGTTTGCCTCGTATGACAGAGCTGTATCGTCAGCGAAAGCAACTAAATTACCTTTAAATTTGCCGTTACAAAGGTCATTGATAAAAATCAGAAACAAGGGGCCGGACAAAACTGAGCCTTGTGGTATGCCAAGTTTTACCCGACCTTCCTCACTAACACAATTATTTGCCCTTGTGGTTTGGCTTCGACCTGACAGGTAGGAACGGAACCATTTTAGAGCAACTCCCCTTATTCCAGCATGATACATCCTTTCCAACAGAATTCCATGGTCTACCATATCGAATGCCTTCATCAGGTCTACGAAAATACCTCCACAGACTTTACCATTATTAACATTTGTGTAAATATCCGACATATACTCAATAAGAGCAGAACAAGTGTTTAATTTGCTTTGGAATCCAAATTGCTTTT